AGGTATGAAGGGATCTGATAGGCAGTACCTTAAGTATCTTTCCAGCATTAGGATTGCTTTAGGTTGTATATCTCACTCCATTGTTAGCATAACAAATTATGTAACGTTGGGTGACAATTACAACTGTATTAATTTTTAAATAGATGGCTGTTTTGCCTTTCTAAGGTCCTCCCAGCTCCAAGAATCTGAACACCTCTAAGTTTTGCGGTATAAAGATGACAGTGAGCCGAGACCACGCCACTGCACTCCAGCCTAGGTGACAGAGTGAGACTCGGTCTCAAAAAAATAAGCATCTGACCAATGGCAGTGGTTACTAACATCCCAGTCCTAACCAGTCCCACTTCTTTAACTTGACAAATGGTCATTGAACAAGTTGGTGGAAACCAAGAAAACCCACTAGTACTTAACACTAAGATGGATTTAAAAGATCAAGAGAAAAAACAAAAACAACATTTATTTCCTGAGTCATTTTAATACCTGGTATTAATAGTGACAAAAGGGAGCAACTCAATATGTTTTTCAAAAGAAACCTGCACTTTTATTTTGGCATTAACACTGTGTAGTTAACAATTACTTTATTTTGTTCAACTTGATGAAAATAGGATCTAATGTACCAACTCTTCAATCGAGTTGAACTGAAAAAGATAGTCCAAGAACGGCAACAGAGGTTAGAAGCTTAGGATTTTAGAGCCGAAAGAGGATTTAATCTGTCTGCTTCCATAATTTTACAGATAAAAAAAAATCCAGTGAAAATTACATGACTTACCCAAGGTCAAATTCAAATAAGAGCCTCTGTTCTCTAAATTCAGAACCCAGCCTTTTTGAAACATGACATAGCAATAAAATAGAAACCTTCATAGAAAACTTTGTAAATAGCAGGACAGGGTTTAGTATTGAAATGTCACAGTATTTTACCAATATGTACAAAATTCAGAATTGAAACAAGCAGAACCACTGAGTTTTTAAAAAATTATCCTAAAAACACTAAAAACATAATTTAAATTAGAGCCAGAGCCTATAAAAGCATTGGCAATGTAAAAAGTTGCTCATCTTTCCTGGGCTGTCTGTTCTAAGGGGATTTTGAAAAAAAAAAAAAAAAAGGTATCACATTCTCTACTCATAATCTTCCAACTGATGGAACATTGGTTTCTTTTTAAAATAGACTTTTCCTTCTCCTGTAACATCATTTGTAGTGATAGAAACTTTGAAGTCTTTTTTTATTTATTATTTTTATTACATTTTTAACTTTGACCAGTGCTAATATGCCTACTAACTCCTAGCAGATCCTAACTTTGTCATGGATTTGAGTTTACTTCTGTAACGACATCTGATTTTAGTTTTATCTACATTGTCCAAGTGAACTATTTCCCAAAAACTAAATAGGACCATGTCAACATGACATTTCAGTGAAGAACAAAGTGTCACCTATGATTACAGGCCGGTTTAGACTGTTCTTGTGGTGATGGTGATGCTGAGGTTTTCAAACTCCGTGTAATTCTGTTGATTACCCTCAGCTTTCCTCTGGATTTTTACAAATCCACATAATACTTAACTGTGTACATAGTTGTTTCAGTTTTGTTTTCTTTTCTACATTGATTCTAAAGACCTAAAGTAAAAGAGCACAGATTATACAAGCAACCTGACCGACAAAGAGGAAAGAACGCAACAGTATAGAAATGCTCATTAATTCCTTCAGTGACTACTTGAATGCCAGTCTATGCCAGGCATTATGCCAGCACTAGAATTAAGAAAAACAACCTGATACCATGGCATCTCCTGCAGATGATAAAATAGGAAGACTGAACACAGTATACTGTCTATAGTACACTTAGTTGACCATGAGATCCAAACAAAAATCTCCATGAAAAGGGAAAACAGTAATGAACAAAAAGCATATATTTCTTGCCACTTCACAATGAATGTCAAATTGATCAGTGACTAAAGGGATTCCCCATCCCATCTGTCATCATTTGAATGAGTCCTCCAAAAGTTCGTGTTTTGGAAACTTGGTCGCCATGGTGTTGATGTGAAGAGGTGGGGCCTTTTGGAAGTGATTGGATCATAAGAGCTCGACCCTCATAAATGAATTAATGCCATTACCTTGAGAGTGGATTAGTTTTTGTGTGTGTGGCCCCCTTTTCCTCTGTCTTGCATGCTTGCTTGCCATGTGATGACTTCCACCATGGGACAACTTCACCAGATACCAGTGCCATCTCTTGGACTTCCCAGCCTCCAGAACTGTAACCCAAATAAATCTTTTTTTCATAAATTACCCAGTCTTTAGTATTTTGTCATAATGGCAGAAAACAGACTGAGAACACCACCTCTGCCAACTCCTGTGGGTGTTAAGTGGGCAGGGAAGATGGTATGGTGGAGAGGAAGACCACAAAACTTGCAGCTGTTTCCTTCTAAACACAAAACACCATTTAATGCTTTGGGAGGAAATGGAGTTCATATTCTCTCCGTCCATCCAGATTGGTATGTTTCAGAATAATGGAAGCAAATAAATCTCTTATAGCACTAAATTGTTCCTGGAGGAAAGAAAACTTACTTTGCCTGGTCTATTAGCCTATAATAATTAAAGACCAGCTTTTAGTGATTTAGTTCTAGAAAGCTGAAAAACCTGGCTTGAATACTTAACATTCTCATTAGTAGAACTATTAAGTTTTTCTCAAAGAATTTAGTTATTAAGGATGTTTTTATTGGTCAAAGGGACAATTACAATGACATTTCCTGAGTTTAAAGTCCTTTTAAAATTAGTTGCATTTAAAACAAACAAGTTCTCATTTATGTAGAAGGCCAGTTTGGTAAGACGATGTCCTCTTAAAGGCAGCAGGGGGCCGGGGTGGGGGGGCGAGGTGGGGAGGAGAGGGATGTTTTCTGTGTGAGGAGTAGGGGAGGACACAGAATTGTGGCTTTTTCTGACTAAACTTATAAATTCTGTAAAGGTTTGATTTGTTACTAACCATAATTGTTGGCTGAATATAAAATCTAAATGTTTTCCAAAAGCTGCAACACACAATTACTGTTTTCACTCAATAGATAACACCTTGATATTTGGACTCTCAGGAAGTATCGGGGGCATTTTGAGTTGTCATAATGTCTCAAAGGTGCTATTGACATTTACAAGCTAAGGGCTTTGCTACGACCCTCTAACAGGAAGAACTGTGACAACCACAATACCTATGCCTTGTTAAGAAACACTGGAAGACATTTTAAAGAATCATACAAGATGTTAAGAATATTATCATTAAAACATAAAGCTAGAGATCACTGAACTGGCTTCACGAACACAGAGAGTAAGGTCCAGCGGGGTGAGGGGTTATAGCCTTAGCCAGGAAGAGTGGAGCCAGGACTACAGCTGGTCTTCTGACTCTGGCCTGGGCTGTTTCTCCTCCACCAAGTTTATTTTCATAAAACCCCTTACACAGGTCTGTGTGAGTTATCATGACGCCGGGGACTCTGCCTGGATGCCAAGAGCTGCACATTCTATTCTAAGTGACTTTGGAACACACTTTGGGAATAGAACTGGCTGGGACGAATGAGTTTTAACAAATGTCAAAATTCCTTCAAGAAATTGCAAGCTGAGCCCATTGGGTTTTCTTTACATTACTGTTAACTTTACAGGTGATCACTTCAACTAACAGCAGCTGCCCCGTATAACTTTACAATTGCCCACATAACATTAACGTGGACACCTTGCAATCTGGACTTGTGTTTTCTGCCCTAATATTCCTTAGTACAATCTTCTTGATGATAAATATAGTGTCCCTAATTTTTTTAAGTGTGACAGCTACATAGAAGATATCAAAATTGATTCCTGAAACCTCAACTCCCAGTGAGAGTGCAAGAATCCAGCATGTGTGCCTGGGCCTCAAAGCCACAATGGGACATTTGAGCCGGCTATGGGGCAGTTCTGGGACCTGCTTCCTTGCCATTTCTTGCATAGGATGGACAGTGTTATTCCAGGCATCAGCACAACCCTTCCTACTGCCTTTCTCACATAAAGTGAGAGGAGAAGCAACATAGGAGACCAGCTAATCTTGAGGTTACTAACCTGGCTCAGAAAAAGAGGAAGGAAAGACACAGGCTTCAGTAAGCATATGAGTTAGGAGAATTGTTCTGCAATAGCTGAATCTCTTCCCTTCCAAAATACCTCCTGCTTTTGTATGCATTGGCCTCAAGTGAGTTTGAAGAGACGTTGTTCTCTCTACCAGAACAGTGGCCCAACAACTACCATTAAGATGGAAAACCATCCATATACCCATTAACATGCCAGCACTAATTCATACAATCACATCAACCAGAAATGTGATGCCAACCAGCTCCACACACAGAATTGGTAACCTAGACATCAGATTGGTTATGAACTTCGATGCCTGTCTTATGGTAAGCTTTTATTTAGTAGTGCCTTTCATCTCTGATTCAGAAATTTTACAGACCAAGAGATTCGCCAAAAGAAACCTGTGTTTTTCCCTCAGGCAGTTATATCAAGACAATATATGTGTGCGTGTATATATGCATATACATATGTGAGTTGTGTATCTGTACACATACTTTTAAAAATAAATTCGGTCATCACTCTTCTAACAAAAATCCATCTTTCACTTTTCTAAGTCAATTCTACTTTGCTTTTTCTGTTTCAGTGAAATAGACTGGACATTTGCTAAGGGCAGGCGCCAGGCATGAAAGTCAAGCACAATGACTTCAGAGTGTTCCAAACAGTGGGCTCTATTGTCTGTGCACATTTTCAATGCCAAGGGCACTATTTTGCCAGTGCATAGGGATACCTTATGCAACCCCTCCACCAGGTAGCAGGGCCACCTTTTCGAATGTATTTGTCTTCTGCAGTGTTCTCCACTATCTGCCTCCAAAAAAAAGCTAAGTTCGTTCACTCACTGCATTACTTACCAAAACAGGAAGCTTTCCAAAAGTCACCCATGCAAGCACATACCAATTCTTACCCTCTAGTTGTGTATAATTTAATAAAACTGACCATGTAGGATAATGCTGTTTATTAAAAATATAGTCAGGGAGAAGGAAGTCAGTGCATTTATGCAATTTTACATACACATCTGTAGTTTGAGGTTCCATTATTCCAACAGTTCATATAAATCACTGTTTCAGAGAAAAGGAAAAAAAAAATGCTTTACACAGGAGATCAGCAATTGGTTATAGGTTTGGAAATATGAGTCGGCTTGTAGTAAAAATAAAACCACCTCTTCCATTATTAAAGAATGTCTCCTTTATGCAGAACAAGTCTTTAGCGTTAAGAACTTTTCCTTGCATAAGAATTAACTTGAAGTTCTTGGAAAACAGCCAATCCTGTTTTCTATATTTATAAATGCTATTTTGTCTGGATTTTTTTTTTTTGAGGTAACAAAGGAAGCATCTTCAGTGATTTGTCACTATGTTATCCTTTACCGTGTATGTCAACTACTGCAATGTCAAACCTAAGACTCATACAAAAGCATTTCTCAGAGAATCATAAATACAGAATATGACATTTCCAAACAACGTTCTCATTACAGCAGGGAAAACAAAATGGATCAAAAAACAAAGCCTAAAATAAATGAAGGCTTGATCATTTTGCTAATAGAGAAATGAACAATAGCATCCAGAATCCTCCAAAAAGGATTTGGCATATGAATGCACTTGTATGAAAAACTCCATCACATTTTTTTTATTTTTTAATAGACTCCACTCCCATTTCCTGAACTCATGCTCACTGACAGGAATCGAGAGTACAGCCCCAGCACCTGCTAAGCCAGAGGGAAGACGACAAACTTACAACTTACACGTGACAGTCCTCAGTGTGGAAAATCAAAAATTTTGTATCTAATTTCTTGGATACTGAAGTTAGTGCTCTGTCCCTTGGCCTTCGGGGAGAGGATGTATAGGATGTCCTAGGGAAGTCACTCCAGAATAGGGAATGATCATATTCAGTTGAAGGCACCACTCCTTTCCATGTTATGTACCTAACTCAAACCCAGGAACGAGGGGCTTCAAGCATAATTACTTTCCTTATATTCTGCTACAGTGAAAGTAAGTTCTCTGTCACTACAAATGCAGGGAACCAGAGCCAAGCACGAGAAGAGAAAAATGTGCATTTCTTATAATGAGTGGCTGTGTGAAAAGTTTCTGCTGGGTTTGGCTAAGGCATCTAAAACTCCATGTCTGCTCCCAATTAGTCTATTTAGAATTTACAGTTCAGTTTTCTGGGGGGATAGGAAGAGGGAATTACATTTAGCTACCTCTTCCTTCTTAAAGTAGAACAGTTACAAATATGTTCTCATATATAAAGCAAATCAAATCAGTAACTGTCTAAATGACAACACAAATTCGGTGTTAGCTATGACTAACATCTGACTCTATCTCAGCAAGAACTAAAGGATGACAAAATCTCAGTTGCTATCCAACTAAGTGTTTAAAGTATACTAAAAAATTAGTGCTTGTTGATAGGATTACCAAGCAAATAAATTTAAGGCATAACTGGAGTAATAGCAAATTAAGTATATACTTTTTCCCTCTGATGCAATAAGGCCTCTGCCAAGAGATTACTTTCAAATGGGAAGAGTTGTCCTGCCCCAAATTAACCAAAGGTGCCTTGTATTGAAGGAGGGATAATAAAGGCTGAGGCTTTTAAACAGATAACTACTGATTTTGAAACACTCAGAGTTTGAGTCAAAATCACCATATATACTTATTAGATGCTGGAATCAATGAGGCCAGATTTGCCAGGGTCGCAACATGGATAAAATGTCAAGTACAGATAAAACATTATTTTGTTTATACATGTCTGAATTTTAACAGAACCCTTTAAAAATCAGGAACAAAATGCTATGTTCACACAAAAGCCTTGTGCTTAGTTCGCAGGAAGATATCAGAACAGTTGAAAACAAATTGTTTCCGTCTTTAACTTCACTTGATGAAGCTGCCCAGCAACCGCTGTTCGCGGTGAAACTGCAGAAACACAATTACCTTCTTGGATTTCAGGGAAAAGCCATTTACTTGTCAGAGCCTCTGCAGAGACAGGGAGACAGCTCTGCCCCCAACTCCTCTGACAGTTCCTTGCACTTAATGGGGTCACTGACCAAGTGAACTTTCAGGAGGGGACGTTTCCATATAAGGCCATTTAAGTGTAAATTGACACAGCAATCTATGTCAAACAAACCACTGAGTTTCTTTTGGGTGGTGAGATAGGGAAAAGGGCTTCTATGTCAATGAAATAAGACTTGCAGAACAAAGAAAACTGATTTCTCAAAGTTCAATAAAAAAACTAGCTCATCTCTCATTTTCAAAGAGATGAATTATAGAAAATTCCTTCAAATTTATGCCACAGGCTTAATTTTGGACCTTAGGAAGGAATCTCCTCCCATTTTCTTTTCACATTTTATGTTCAAGTTGCTACTATAAATTGTTTGAATAGCAAAATCAGCCATGACCTGAATCATGGAGATACATCGATTGACTTGCATTGAAAGACATCTATACAATTGAAAGTTATGCATACAGCACAAAACTATAAACAAAAAGATGAAGCAAACTTTATTTTCAGGTAAAAACGTTAACCTGATGGATTATTGCAGATTTGAGAAATCAGCACATAAAATGACTGGACAGCACTGCTTACAGGTGTTTTTATCTGCGTCGAGACAAAGGCTGAACTGTTTTGTCCCAAGTCAGTATTGGGAGAGGGGAAGAGGAGAGTGGAATAAAGAAGATTATGAACAAAAACCTAAAACAAGAGCAAAGAAAAAAGAATATTTACTCCAACAGGGAAGGAAAACTGCTAACTTTGTTTAAAAAATTTACATTAATTTAAAATGCTCTGGCTGCAGAATAATAAATACCGGCCAGCCCAAGCTGTAGACTTTCTAACCTTCATAAAAGGAACAAATGAGCTTTCCTTGTCTCATTCCAGAGGCTGTTGCTACTGGAATTGCCATGTAAACAGTCCTAGTGTGTCACCTGGCAAAAAGCCAGTAATACCCCAAACTATATTAAAACTAAGCTATAAGAAAAGTCTACCTAGTTACAAAGATTGAATTATATTCAATATATTTCAATCCAATGAATTTTAAATTAGATCTTAGCTGGAGAGAACATGGGACAACAAAAGCCCATGGCTGACGAAGATTTGAGAACTGTGAGTGTTGTATAGAAAAAAACAAAACAAAACTGTGAGCTGCACAGACAATAATGAATCAGGGAGAGGAAATCAGAGGAAAGTGAAAAGCACATAGAGCTAGTCTACTAAACTACATTTGTCAAATACATGTGAGCTTTAATTTCTGTACTTATGTACAAGAGTTGTCTTTGGAGGAAACAAAACTGCAGACTTAGCTAGATGGATACACACAGCCCAGAATTAAACTGCACAGCGACATTTATTGTTCCAGCCTGGAAAAACATCCCTTTTTTAAATTTCACACAGCAAAGCATGTTAAAAACTTCACTCATCAAATAAATGATAATTTAAACAATAACTTGCTAAAGAAACCTCATGACAACAACGTTTTAGGGCCTGATCACTTTAAGTCCATGGGGCCATTAATGAATATGAACCAAGTGTCTCTTTATAATCTGCAAGCCGTTTTTCCTACAACAAGAAGGCGTAACATGTTTCCTTGACTCAGGTGATACATAAGAAAAGAAATCATGATTTGTTTCTGTTGCTGTAACAGGCAGACACTGCATTTCTTGTTGTGATCAGGAAAGATGGAACGACTGCTGCCCTTCTCTTGCTGCTATCAACAGTTTTTCACGCATTATCTCAATGCTTGAATAGTCCGGCAACTTAAGATAGTTCACACAAGTCATTACAGAGGGCAAGAAGTCATCTGGGTTTTCTGTTGATTCAAACGTCTTTCGGACAATTGTCAAAGGTGGATTCAAACTCCGGAATCCTGATTAAGAGAAAAAGAAAGATGAAGTTTTTAAAAAACACTAACTGCTGTGCCATACAGTATTACACACAAGGTATTCTTTCTTGCTTGGTAACTATACATTCAATATATATGAAGTGTAAGGAACACGCTTTATTTGTCATTTAAAAAATCGATGTACAACATGGAGGCAATTGTTCTTTATGCCTTCTGATTTTTAAAATGGAATACCCATAGTGGTTCACGCCTGTAATCCCAGTACTTTCGGAGGCTGAGGTGGGCCAATAGCTTGCGAGTTTGAGACCAGCCTGGGCAATATGGCAAAACCCTATCTCTACAAAAATACAAAAATTAGCCAGGCATGGTGCTGTGTGCCTGGAGTCTCGGCTATGCAGGAGGCTGGAGCAGGAGGATCGCTTGAGCCCAGGAGGCAGAGGTTGCAGTGAGCCAAGATGGCGCCACTGCACTCCAGCCTGGGCCACAGAGTGAGATCCTGTCTCAAAACAAAACAAAACAAAACAAAACAAAACAAAACAAACCAAACAAAAACAACAGAATACCAATTTAACTTACATTAAGATTCAATCTGAAAAACAGATTTTAGAATCCATTCTCATCTAAGTCAACTACGAGTTTTTTTTTTTTTTTTTGGGAGACGGAGTTTCGCTCTTGTTACCCAGGCTGGAGTGCAATGGCGCGATCTCGGCTCACCGCAACCTCCGCCTCCTGGGTTCAAGCAATTCTCCTGCCTCAGCCTCCTGAGTAGCTGGGACTACAGGCATGCGCCACCATGCCCAGCTAATTTTTTGTATTTTTAGTAGAGACGGGGTTTCACCATGTTGACCAGGATGGTCTCGATCTCTTGACCTCGTGATCCACCCGCCTCGGCCTCCCAAAGTGCTGGGATTACAGGCTTGAGCCACCGCGCCCGGCAACTACGAGTTTATAATGTACAAATGGCCTAGAATTTTATCTAACCAGTATTAGATGTGCATGAGTAATCCTACTTCAATATGTTTAAGACACTCCCTATGAACTGCCCTGCCAGTGGTCTCAACGTACTGTTAAGAAACATGATGATACTGGAATAACTAAGAGGCACTGCAAGTGAAATAAAGAATCTCTTGCTGATGGTACTGGAGTCTCACACCCACAAACACACCCATAGGGAGAGTAAATGCTAAACATCAACATCATACCCACCTCCAACAGGCAATCTTGGGCTACCAGTCACAAACTGGAGAAACAACCTCTGCTGCTCATTATCAAAACTACTGAGAATCTCAAACAAAAACTTCACAGCCCGACTATAACAGAAATAAATATACCAAAATTATTTCATCAGGTTAAAATAGTTTTAATCACATCGCATCACATCACTGACTGTAAAATTCTCAAAATTAGATAGATGAACACTTTTAAATTACATGTATGTTTCCATTATAATGTACTCAAATTTGTTTCTGTTATGGTTAGAATTCAAATGGAATGATTATAGTTGTAATAAGTAAGGCTTGATCTGGTACTGTACGGATATTTCTGCTTTAATATACGTAATAATGTGGAACAGAATTGAATCTGTCTTCACCAGCCCCTAGAATTTTCACAGAAATACTTGAGAAAGTAACTCTTGGGTCTTAATTTGCCATCTTGAGAGAAATAAGTCCAAAACAGAAGTAAGCATCCATTAACAGGTAGACATATTTTAAAATGAACCACTCCAACTTTTGTTTACATATGTGTGCATGTCTATGCGCACACATACACACACACACCTCTCCACATTCTTGAAGATCAATAGAGAAACTGGAGAACTCCAATACTTACCTGTCATGAGTATAACCGTGATCAGGCCTGCAGCATTCCATCAGCGTCTTTGCATCCCAAGTGTCTGCTTTACTGCCACAAAGGAGCTGATCCAGCTGTGAGTTTAAAGGTAAAAAGAATTACTAAAGAAACATCTGCTTACCTGAGTAAAAATAAAGGTCTACGTGTACTACACAAGAGTATCAATTTCAGTACTAAAACCTTCTGCTTGGGACCTCTTTCTAAAACAAATTGAGAGATTCCATTTCCTTTTTAGCTGTACACTATTAAGTACCGTGCCCATCTGCAAGGACTTGGTTCTGGAGAAGCCTTTCCTCTTAAACCAAAAACACCTGATACTCTTGATTTCAGTTTTCCTTTCTTCTCATTACTTTAGGTGTTTTAAATTGATAATCTGCTTTTAATCAGGGAGATTTTATAAATCCTGGCTTTCAGAAACACAAAAGTATATAATAACAGATCCCAAAGAGGAGAATATTGAGCTGGAGAAAGAAGTGGGAGAAACAAGCTGAACTAAGACACAGCAAATGGGTAGGTCTTTACGCTTTGTAAAGAGAGGCATGTCTATGTTATACACGGTTGTTTGTATGGGGACCAACCTAGGTATTACAGAATGAATATTAGAAAGCAATACATGCTTTCACGTCCTTAGAAAATCTAACATCAGTTTCAAATTAAAACCATGTCTTGCTCTGGTTAACTGCTGATTTGCAGAAGACTGTATACTTTGAGAAAATCCAATTTGAGGCCAATGAAATTTAATATCTATTATATAATGCTCACTGTCCAGTACCATACATATATACATATAGATATATATTTTTTTGTTTTGTTTTTAAAGACAAGGCTGGAGTGCAGTGGTGCAATCATAGCTAACTACAGTCTTGATCTCCTAAGTTCAAGTGATCCTTCAATCCCAGCCTTTCAAATAGCTGAGACTACAGGTGCGTATCACCACACCCAGCTAATTATTTTTATTTTTATTTTAGACATGGTCTCACAATGTTGCTCAGGCTAATCTTAAAATTCCTGAGCTCAAGTGATCTTCCCACCTCCATCTCCCAAAGTGCTGGGATTATAGGCTGAGCCACTGTGCCCAGCCTATTTAATTTTCATTACTCTATAACAGGGGTTACCCCAATTTTACCGATGAAACAGTCCTACCAGATACAGTAACTTGGATAAGGTTATACAGCAAATGGTGAGGACCATGATTCAATTCCAGGTGACGAGCAGTGCCTACAAGTATCAGGCACACTATATGCTTTAAAAAAAGTAGTAAATCAAAGTAGACACAAATATAACTGAGATTAAGACATTAAGTCAATCAAAAATTTACAGATTCAGTCAGTAGTGAATGTACACTCTAAAAACAAAAAGGTTTTAAAACTGAGGGAAACTGGACACATTCTAGAGCCTTTCTATGACATCTCACCCCCAGTGAGCAGTTCTTTTGAGTTGGCACTTCAAATTAAGATGGTGATATGGTTTGGCTGTGACCCTACCCAAGTCTCATCTTGAACTGTAACTCCCACAATCCCCGCGTGTTGTGGGAGAGACCTAGCGGGAGGTAACTGAATCATGGGAGCGGGTCTCTCCCAGGCTATTTTCATAATAGTGAATATGTCTCATGAGATCTGATGATTTTAAAAAGGGGAGTTTCCCCGCACAAGCTCTCCTGTCTTGTCTGCTGCCATGTGAGAAGTGCCTTTCACCTTCTGCCATGATTGTGAGGCCTCCCCAGACGCGTGGAACTCTAATGAACCTCCTTCTTCTGTAAATTGCCCAATCTTGGGTATGTCTTTATCAGCAATGTAAAAACAGACTAACACAGATGGCTAGAGGAACCAAGCACATAAATCCATTTCTTCCATTCTCAGAAATATTCTCTGTATTTGGCAATTAGATCATTTATAATACTTTCTTAAAACTTCAAGGACTAACTTTGGGAAACAATGTCTTATCAAATCTAGGAGGTTTAGTTTAAAAAAAAAAAAAAAAAAAGGGCCGGGCACGGTGGCTCACGCCTGTAATGCCAGCACTTTGGGAGGCCGAGGCGGGTGGATCATGAGGTCAACAGATCGAGACCATCCTCGTCAACATGGTGAAACCCCGTCTCTACTAAAACTACAAAAAATGAGCTGGGCATGATGGCGTGTGCCTGTAATCCCAGCTACTCAGGAGGCTGAGGCAGGAGAATTGCCTGAACCCAGGAAGCGGAGGTTGCGGTGAGCCGAGATCGCGTCATTGCACTCCAGCCTGGGTAACAAGAGCGAAACTCTGTCTCAAAATAAAATAAAATAAAATAAAATAAAATAAAATAAAATAGTAAATCCCCCTCCGTGTCTCTTTGCTTCCACATAAGTATAGAAACATGCCAAACATGCCACACACAGCACAAGTCCCCATTCTCCACCGAATGGCACTGAGGGCCTCGGCTGACAAAAATGCTATGCTTACTCTGTCGCGTGTGGACCCTACTCCCCCAGTCTCTTAAGAGGGGATGCCTATTTAACAATCTTCCTTGCTCAGGAAATTTCCTTGTCTTTCCGAAACATCTGTCCCATGCTATCAAACCCCTACTGTTTTGTTTTTGTGCAAATACAGTCTTTGACTAGGCAGCAATAAACACTCCACTAAATTTATAGGTAGAGAACTTGAAATGACCATTTCTTTTAGATAAAAGCTACTCACTTCCTCCGGGTAGAAGTACTGAAGATGACTGAGTGGGAAGACTGATTCAAATCCATCTCTGAACGAATCAAATTGCCTAGAAACGCCTTCATTTAGTGCCCAGAATATAACCAGCTGCAGAAAGAAAGTTTTCAAAAAACTGTGACAAGATTTCAAATCTCTTTACTATTTAGTATGTGGCAAAGTACAATGAAACACCCTTCTGGATCACTTTATAAAAAACGAACAAGTTATTCAGTCTGTAAAATATCTGCTAGAAAACTACGTGAGTAAAAGGTCAGGTCTATATCTAACGTGGGGGCCTGACCAATACCAAAATGTAAAAAAATGTCATGTGCATTTATATTTAATGTGTTTTAAAAAATCCATTTATGGGCCAGGCACGGTGGCTCACGCCTGTAATCCCACCACTTTGGGAAGCTGAGGCAGGCAGATCATGAGGTCAGAAGTTCAAGACTAGCCTAACATGGCGAAACCCTGTCTCTACTAAAAATACAAAAATTAGCCGGGTGTAGTGGTGCACGCCTGTAATCCCAGCTCCCCAGGAGGCTGAGGCAGGAGAATCACTTGAACCTGGGAGGCAGAGGTTGCAGTGAGCCGAGATCACGCCACTGCACTCCAGCTTGGGTGACAAGAGCAAGACTCCGTCTGAAAAAAAATAAAAATAAAAGTCCACTTATGTAAAACCAATGATTTCTATTACCTTACTATATGGGAATCAAATGAAAATTTCCCAAGAGGATAAAATGTTATTGAGAATTAAAGGTAATGCTTGAAGAATCACAATTAGCCACTATTAAGGATTTTTATTTTATTTTTTTGATACGGAGTCTCACTCGGTCGCCCAGACTGGAGCACAGTGGCGCAACCTCGGCTCACTGCAACACCCACCTTCTGGTTTCAAGCGGTTCCTCGGCCTCCCAAGTAGTTGGGACTACCAGCGCGTGCCACCACGTCTGGCTAATTTTTCATATTTTTAGTAGAGACGGATTTTCACCGTGTTAGGCAGGATGGTCTTGATCTCCTGACCTTGTGATCTTCCTACCTTGGCCTCCCAAAGTGCTGGGATTACAGGTGTGAGCCACCACGCCCGGCCCAGGTTTTTAATTTTTCATGTAAAATGTTTAGCTCTAAATCCTGTTAAGTTCTTAGAACCTAACCTGTCTGCAGTGTGCTTCCTAGCAGAAGTAGGCAAAGCCTGGAAATGAAGTCAACATGCAATTGCAGGATAAGTAAAAGCAACTATTATTGGTCCAACGTTATCTAGTCATCACTGACTTTGGGTAACCCACTGGGTACAGAAACAACATTTTCAGATAAAAATGAAAACATTATTATTTTGTTGATAGAAAGTTATCAGCATTACTATAAATTATCTTGAGATAACCTTAATCTAAATGTTAACTCATTATTTGCTAGTAAGATGGAAGAATAGCTTTCACCAAGTCAGAAGAAACAGGATGAGAAGACAGTCCCACTGAATATTAAAAGAAATTACTTATGAATCACAGAACTGTTAAGTAACAGGGGATTATGGTTATTAATATTATTGGCTTTTTCAAACAGCTCTGTCGCCCAGGCTGTAGTGCAGTGCTGCAATCTTGGCTCACTGCAATCTCCACCTCCCAGGTTCAAGCAATTCTCCTGCCTCAGCCTCCTGAATAGCTGGAATACAGGTGCGCGCCATCATGCCTGGCTAAGTTTTGTATTTTTAGTAGAGACAGGTTTTCACCATGTTGGTCAGGCTGGTCTTGAACTCCTGACCTCATGATCCACCTGCCTCGGCCTCCCAAAGTTCTGGGATTACAGTTGTGACTCACTGTGCCCGGTTGGTTATTATTTAATCTATATTTTCTCTCTCTTTTAAAACCGATGAAGAAACTGAAGATGCAGTTTTTCAGAGGCTCCATCTAAAGTCCCACAGCAAGTAAGTGAAAAAGTCAGTTCGAGGGGTAGGTAGCCACTCTGACCTAAATCCAATGCCCTTTCCACCCAATGTCAGGAATAAACCAAAATAAACTTTTCAAACATTGGTAATAAGGAACTATATAGTTGTAATTTAAAATACAAACTGCGTTCAATGTAAAATTATTTTTCTCCAATTTAGCAAATATAGTCAAGCATCATATATACGTATTTTTAAGAGAAAGGGTCTTGCTCTGTCACCCAGGCTGGAGTGCAGTGGTGCAACCTTAGCTCACTATAACCTTCAACACCAGGGCTCAACTGCCCTCCCACCTCAGCCTCATAAGTGGCTGGGACTACAGGCTCATGCCACCACACTCAGCTAATTTTTCCATCTTTTGTAGAGACAAGGCCCCCACTTTGTTGAACCGGCTGTTCTTGAACTTCTGGCCTCAAGGAATCCTACTGCCTCCACCTCCCAAAGTGTTGGGAGGATTACATGCGTGAGCCACTGCGCCTGGCCCGTAAGTTAGTAATTTGAAAGGCGTCACCAAACATAGAAGTGTGCACTGCATGTGCCTGGAGTAAATTCTGTCAACTTAGCTGCCTTGACGGAAATGCGAAAACACAATTTAGTAAGAACATAAATGATATATCTTTTCACTCACTTTTTTTTTTTTTTTTTTACAACTAAGAAAATGTAGTATTATTAGCTTGAAGGCTTGAGGAAAAATAATTCAAGGTTATATAAGACAAGAAATATCTGATATGTGCACTCAAGAGCAAAGAGAAACTAGGGCCTCGTAAAGCAGCCTTCATGCAGTGGACCTGGGGATGTGGCAGGTCTCAAGCCACAGCACGTGCAGCCAGAAGCAAGGTACAATCAGGCAAAGTCCTCCATCCTCACAACTGGCCTACCACCAAAAGACGCACAGTTACATACTCTTAGATACTCCTCTAAATTGTGGATAGTGACTGGTATATCCTTCCCTCCTTTCTTCAGTTCGATATTGGGAAACCCTGGCAAAGTGAAATCCAGTCCTAGATCTTCAACAGAGCAGCCATTCATAGTCAGGGTTTCTAATGCATACTGTAGACTCTCTTTGGTCTAAAAAACACAAATGGGGGACAAATGGTGTCAAGCAAAATTAACTCACAGTTTTTTTAAAAAAACAAAAGATATCCTAATAAAGTTGATGGGTTCCTTTAACTCTTGGCTAATTTTTTTTCCTGTCATAATTTACATATGAACAAGTCACTGAGATCTCAAAGGAAATAAGTGTAAGAAAAGAGAGATGAAATGCTTCTTATGAGCTGCTGCACACGCAAATCAAATTTCACAGTAAGTACCTAACAGGTTGAATACTAGTTAATTTTAAGAATGTGGACTCCAGAACCAGAAAAACTTTTCATGAATTTTAGGCTAATCTTGAATTCAATACTGTATAAGTATACAGCAAATACTGACAATACAGTTGGGAAACTGTAAATACAAAAAATGTACTATATCTAGTGATAGTAATTAATTTTTTCCCCCTGCAAAGCTCATGTCTATAGAATACCCTGGAGAGGCTTCATTCAATCACTTCCAGCCTCTGATACATAACAAATTTGTATCCATGCAGCAACACTGTGATTAAAAAAAATAAATAAATTAAAAAAAAAAAATAGTTCCAAGAAATCTCTAAGAAAAGACAAGCAATATTCTGTAAGATGATGTTAAAAACAGTCTTATTACTTGCTTTTTTAAATGTCTCATATTATGAAAGGCCTATGTAAATTTTTTTAAACTTAGGGATCAAAAACCAACATAACAAAAATGCAAATTCCATCTAAAAATGAAGACATCAAGCATAGGAGAAAGAAGACAAATGACTTTCCAAATTGGAAACGCTTCCATTTATGAAATTCCTATAGGCTAACAATTAAGGTACAGAAAATTAGTCATTTAAACTAGACATGGTTAGAAGTTCTGATTAATAAGTCATTTTTTAAAGAGCAAACTAAATGCCATTTAGGATTCCAAATAATACAGAATACCTAGGAGGTGGCATATTACTTAAAGTGAATAGTCACTTTTATTTATACTTTAATAAACAGTATACTTTGTTTTTTCAGAATGTTACCATTCTCTTGTTCACAGTTGGTTTAAGTCAATTTCTGGGGTGTGGATTCTGTGCCACTCATTTTATACTTTTAAATTGACAACATCAGGAATAATAAAAGATAGAACAAATATCAAAAACAAAACAAAACACTACTAACAAGAGAACTGTGGCAGCATACTGCATTTGAGACAAGCATATATAACGGAGCTGCATGGTGTGTTGGCACACAGACAGCCTGGGTTTGAGTTCCTCCTCTGCGTTCTCTAGGTGTGTGACCTTAGGCAGGCTACTCTATCTGTCTGCCTTCGTTTGCTTACCAGTAAAATAGAGGTAACAACAATACCCCAATCTCACACGGTTGTTGTTGGGATTAAATAAATTCACACATGTAGGGTATCTAAAACAGGGCCTCCAGTTTTACTTGTTTTTTGGTTCCTCCTTCTTTTTGTTTTGCCATTATTTAAGAGATAATCCTAAACAACACTGTAATAGTTTAAAACTTACCAAGTTGTAAGTGAAAACCAAAATGGTTCTAAAAATCCTAAAATGACAGATTTTGTACAGAAATGGTGGGCCTAGCCTCTTTGAACACCAATTTCTCTTAATAGACTTACTTTTCCAAACCGCACCAAATAATTACCAATTAATATGGAAAATAAAGTGAATCTCCCTACGTATATTCTCTCTAATTAAAAGGCACTCTAAAATCTCATCCCTCTATTGTATGATCCTCTCCAACTCATCAGGAGAGGTGACACTCTCCCTCACTACAGAATCTCAACTTGCTATTCTTACTTTATTTAATTTATAAAATGAGAACTGATTTAATATTGGTCCATGTTACCAGCCCAAACAGAAGCTTTTTGGATCCGTGCCACAAAAAAACAGAACCTTGTTTTCTTCTAATACCAGATATAGAACAATTATTAATCTCAGACTGAGTTAAATAATTTATCTATTGTTAATTATATACATTAAAAGTATACAGTAATGATACAAAGTTCAAGGTTATCTATGAGATGTCACAGAGAAACCACAACATGTATTACAAGAAATGGTTGTTGGCACTCACTGTGACCTTTTAAAAATATCTGTCTGAGATCTCTAGAAACAAGGCTGTTCATAAATTAAGCTACCTTTCTTGAAAATAAATCTGTTCTGAGAATAGTTTTACTGATTCAAATGCTTGCTAAAAGATGAGATGTCTTCCCAGATACATAATATGTCCATCTAAAATTTAATTGAAAGGAGCTCTTATTTACGATTTGATTCAGAATTACATTTTATTTGCTAACCAAGATGTTTATAACCTGCTGTAAATATAGATGTGACCCACTGTGAAATCATATGCCTTACTTAGTATAAAAGAATTAAAATCTAAAATAAAACACTACTATAACAACTGAGTCAAATACAAACCTTTAACAAAAACCTCATTTTTCTAAAATAAAGATTTAATCCACTTGACTGTTTCTTCTAAGCCTACCTGGGATTTATCTTGTTCGAGTCTTTTCTTCTGTCTGACGATGTCTTCTAGGTGATAAACTGATCTGGCTACAACTGGGTCGATGTCAAACAAATCATGTGATGTCAGTGAAGTTTCTTGCCGTAGCATCCATTTATAAAAGGGTAAGCCAAGGGGAAGGTCCACCTGAAATGGAATATGCATAGCATTTTAACTGTCACACTGAGCTTCCAGCATTACCTCCACTAAGGCACTTCAGGAGATCATTTAAATATTAATATGGCAAGTAATCCCCAAGGGAAAAAAAAAAATTCTGTAGTTAGAAACTACTTTTCCCACTAAACAAACTGATTCTTTCAATTTGGGGCTCTAACCATTGTGAAATATTTAAGGAACTTTTCAATGGTGGACATACTCTCCTTAACACATTTTACATGAGACTCTCAACCACCAAGAAGTGCTTGAAGAAATTTACTCTTTTTTAGATTAAGTACATGCAATTCCATTGTAGTCTGTATTATTGAATATCCCACAGCAAAAAATGTTAAGGGAAAAAATTTACTATATTGAAAATAGAAAACTAAACAGAACTTCTAAAATAACTGATAAACTGCCCACTCTTCAGTTAAAGTGAAATTGTCAACTTGGCCACAGATGAAAATGTTTTAAACATACTGACAAAGTGCCTCTGAAAATGTGAGAAGACCATGGTGGCTCATGCCTGTAATTCCGGTGCTTTGGGAGGCCAAGGTGAGAGGACTGCTTGAGGCCAGAAGTTCAAGAGAAAAAGAAATGAAGAAATGTCCAGAAACATTCCAACCTCTACGAATACTGATCACTTGGGTTATTTTCACAATAGCACTCTAATGTAAATTTATTTCAGTTTAGTTACATGCACAAACTTTCACACTGAATTATAAAGGTAATGTCAAACTTTGCCCTGGGAGCTGGAAAAAAAACTTGGAATCTTGGACAGTGGGACAGTCTCACCCCTGCCCTAATGAATCAAAATTGGCATTTTTAACAAAATTCCCAAGTAATTCATACGCATATTAAAGTTTGAGAAGCACTGCTCTGAAATACAGCAGTAAACACAGGGGACTGAGGTACTTGTGTACAACATTCTACACCAAAATTGCAAAAAGCGAACTATCCTAAACTTACCAATCTGAAATCCATGATAGCCTTGGCCATTAATTTTCCTAAGAAGCGAAACTTCATCTTAACCTTTGCGATATGAGCTGGCTTAGCTGTCCTACCAAAGGGAAGCGCAAATAGGCCCTGGAGGTTTTGAATATACTTGGTCCCTTCTTGGCTTCCTGAAAAACAAGCAATTCACCAAACTTTAGATGCTGTTTCCAAAAACAAAACAAAACCTGGTAGCTAAGAACATTTAAGAAATCAAGTATTCTCAAAATTGGAGCGCAGATCACTGAATGAAGTCCTCTAGAACTGGACAGGCCTTCCCTATTTGATAAATGAGAAAACAGAGGCTAAAAGAAAGCAAGCACAGTTGTCCATTAGAAATTAAATATATTTAACAATCTGTCAGAGTCCATTACCTGATCTGAGTAACACAAACCAACTAACTTACAGATAGGCATTACCTTTTGGATTGCTAAGAGTTACTTCTTCACCTCTCCAAAGACCCAAGTCAGCTCTCTGTAGTTCCTGAGATACAAGTGCATAAAACTCCAGTGTGGGCCCAAGACCTGTACCAACCTACAGAAGAACACAAGTAGAATGATTTCAAATTTTAGAAACTGTGCTTTTTTACTGCCAACCTCCTGAAAATGTGGACACTAACGGCAACTGTTTACCAAGACGCATTAGAGATTATTTTCCAAAATGTCCTGATTAGATTTATCCTTTCAGTTCTGGTCTCCTGGAACAAGAGCTAGCAACCCTTTATTATTTCCCACCTGCTAACGCCCCAACATTTCAGTTGAATGGTTTCAGGTTATACTCACAGAAGTGTTCCTGTGGCTATGTACCTTTCCTTCAGGGAACGTATGGCACTGTCTGTGTATGGATGTCTTTCCCCTTTTTCTCTTTAGTGAACTGTTACCCTAAACCAGCTCAAATGTCACCCTCTCAAGGGGAAGGCTCCCCTGACATCTGCCCCCAGTTAATCTGCTCTCTTTTTCTTCAGGCTTATTTTTCAGCTACTTAAATACTTACTACATTACTTTACCACAATTTCAGTATATGCCTGCATATTTCACAGGGTAACTGTTTTGGTCACCCTGTATCTCTTATAGTATGTGACATATAGTAGACATTTAATAGAGATATGTGGAATAAAATACAAATAATGGAAGGTCTGAATCCACACCAGCACAGATAGGACTGACAGCCTCACACAGGACACCAGTGCTGCTCAACTCCCAGGGTGCACCGGAATCCTCAGAGCTTTATCAGCATGCACACATTGGGGTGTTCATCCTGAAGACTGTGATCTGGCAGGTACAGCTTAGAGCCTGGGCACTGGTATTATTAAACAAGCTCTGCAGGTGACTGTGAAGCCTAGAGTAAAACCACTCCTGATGTGGACATGCTTGAAGCAGTGTTCATAGCTTGGTCATTCCTTCATGTTCTGTCAAGGTCCCACCAGATCGGACCATAATACAAAGATATGCAGGTGGTCACAAGTTCATATCATAGGTTATATGCTAAATCTAACTGTAACCCTGTCAAGAAGGCAACACGTCATATATAGATTACCTGTAAACAAAGGGTACTATTTTAACATTATTACAGTTACTTTAAAAAATGACCCACACTAGCTTAAAAGATTAGAGGTAGTCCACCAAATGTTTAACTCTTTCAAAACAGAGATCTGCTTGGACCTGGTGGTATTTTCCTGATTAACCCCTAACCCTATTAGAATTCCATACCAGTAAATAGTATCACTATTAACCCAAAACGAATGCTCCAACCAAATCCTTAGAACTGTCCTTGGCCCTTCTCTAAATCCGCAAAACCCAATCCATCAGTAAATACAATACGTGCTGCCTTCAAAATACATTCTGAACTCATTAGCAACTTTACCCAGGTGCCATCCGTCACCTGCTCTACCGATAAAAGCCTCCTAGATGGTCTCTGCACTATCATTCCCGCCATCTCACCCATTCTTGTAACAGCAAGAGTGATCCCTACAAAACTCAAGTTCGTACTATTCCTTTGTCACGCTCCAAAGGTTTCTCATCTCATTCAAAGCAGAGTTCCAGTTCTTACCACGGCCCACATGACCCCTCACCATGTTCTGCCCATCCCCCCTCAGTCTCTTTGACTCCTATTACTCTGCCCTTGCTCACCATGCTCAGGCCACACTCATCCTCCAACAGGCCAAGAACACTGCCTCTCTGTTCTTGTGCTAAAGATACTCTTCCCCAGACCACAAAGACTTGCCTGCACTCAAATGTGCTCAGATCACCCCACTCTTCCCCATAATGCTTCATCCTCTTATTTTGTTTTACTTTTCTTCCACACAGCCTAACATATGTGTATACATGAATGTGTGTGTATGTATCAGCTCCCCAAACTAAAAGATAAGGTAAATCATGGGGGAGGGGGGCACTCTGTATATTCTGTTCTGCACTGAATCCCAGGCACTGGAAGATTGAGGAACAAAAGCAAAGAAAAACCTGCAGTAACACATGGTGTCCACCAGATGGTGCTAGTCAATTCTCCTTTTGGCATAAATTATCCCAGGTTCAACAGAAGTCGCAGATCAAATTAGTCTTTTTCCTTCATCCAATGCTGTTGTTTCTAGAAGGATTCTTAAAATATTAAATCACTAAAAGCACTCCCTCTGTGAGCCTCTGCAGAAGGTGGAAGGCCCAGGTCATGTCTGCTTTGCTGATACAGCCTGAGGCTGGCCAGCATCCCCACAGAACAACCAGATCTTTTCAGGGATTATCATTCTATCCAGCTATACCACTGAAAGGGTAGGTACTTGATTGTGCTTCATTTTTCTTTTTAAAAGAAAGGAAAGCACAAAATCCTAGAAACATAAAAATAAAAGTTTAACAACTTGACTTAAAATGGAATCTTTTTCTCTTAGAACTAACACATACCAGCACTTACTATGTGACAGACAATGTTCTGAGTGCTTCACACATTTCAGCTCATTTTACCATTCTTTTTTTT